GCTATCTCCCTATTTTCCTGTTCCTTTTATATTTTATTATTTCATGTTGTTCTTCACCACAGCTTGTTATTCTTATGTGGAAAAGTCTAAAAAAGGAATTTGACAAAGAAATTCCCTAAGTAGCAACAAAGTTAAAACAATACTTGATGTTTTTAAAGATTGGAAAGTGAAGCTCCTACCCCCAAGCTAAAGTCTGTTTATAAGACGTTTCATTATTGAGGTGAGCGTCTCTGTCTGCGTCTGGAGCTCCATTGTTGAATCACACATGTAAGCGTCTGGTCTATGTTGAATCTCGTCTGATCCAGCACAATGGCTCTGATGCAAGTCGTGCTACAAGACTACTGAAGAACTAACAACCTCAGAGCCAACTATGCAGGCGATGTAAGAAAATGTATTTTTCTATTAAATTTCTATTTTTGTCAATGACAGAACAGTGTAGTACAAAATTGGCTGAAGCAGATCAAAAGTCTCATTTAACGCAGCACAATGTAAATTTGGGCTGGTATTTTTTTTAGCCTTATAAGTGCAACTGAAGCCAACACTTTATTATTCATTTTGGATGGAGTGGAGAGGGATTAGACGACCTTGTAGGTTTTTATTGCCATCTGTGTCCCCCATTAGGGAGATTTACACGTGTTTATTAATGATATCGGGGAGGGAGTGAGTAGTCATGTCTCAGTGTTTGTTGATGATACGAAAATTGGGAGGGTAGTAGACACGGATTTAGACGTTATAACATTACAGGAGGACCTGGATAAACTCGGGGAGTGGGCAACTGCATGGCAGATGAAGTTCAACGTCGATAAATGCAAGGTTAATGCACTTTGGAGTTAAAAACAGGCAAATGGACTATACACTTATGGGTGTGCCACTAAGTAAATCGGAAACGGAGAAGGATTTGGGGGTCATTATAGACCACAGATTGAAGAACAGCTCGCAGTGCCATACTGCTGTAAACAAAGCAAGCAGAGTCCTGTCTTGCATTAAAAGGGGAATGTATTGCAGGGACAAGTCTATAATTTTGCCACTTTACATATCACTGGTTTGGCCACATGTGGAGTATGCGGTCCAGTTTTGGTCACCAATACTAAGAAAAGATGTCCTTGAGCTGGAAAAAGTCCAGCGGAGGGAAACCAAACTCATTAAGGGGTTCGAAGACCTGAACTATGAAACAAGGTTGTTAAAATTAATTATGTTCTCTTTGGAAGTTAGGAGATTAAGTGGGGACATGATTTTCTTGTATAAACTGTTCAACGGCGACAGCAACATTATTAACAAACTGTTTACGGTTAGCTCCGTATCAAAGACCAGAGGGCACCACCACAGATTGGTAGAAAAAACATTTCTACACACGGGGCGCAAGGGGTTCTTCAGTTAGAGCGGTTAGTGTCTGGAACTCTCTGCCGCAGGAAGTGATTTCAGCTAAGAGTGTGGAATCATTCAAGAAACTCCTGGATGAGTTCCTTGGAGACTGTAACATAAAGGGGTACAAGTACTCTTAAGAGCAAAATCACACATGGACTCATACACACATCTACTCAAACATAAATGCACAAACGCAATAGGCGGGACTTGATGGACCTGTGTCTTTATTCAACTTCAAATACTATGTAACTAAGTAATATGTCCTGCTGACCGTTATCACTAAAATAAAGAAAATCCCAGAAAAGGAACAGATGGCAAATCCTCCAATGGGGACGCTAATTCTGGTGACCCTGCTGACCACCAGGGATTCCCTATCATTTCCTGTTGTGGCTATTGGATAGGAAGTGAAGGGCAAAAGAAATCTGACAGGGGTTATAACCCTCCCAAACTTTGTCCAATACTAGAAAAACGTTTTGGCTTCAGTTCTGCTTTAAGGTTTAATGACTAGAGAGTGCCCTCTGCTGGTAAATGTTTTTTTTTTCTTTTAAAGTGGCCAAACACATTACAATCTGATTGTACATCTCAGTATCTAAGGCCAGGAACACAAAAAGTAATACAGTGCGGCTTATCAGTCATTGCATCTGGTGGCTGCATTTGTTTTATTTTTTCAGGCCTATTTTCCCTAAATTTCACCTAGTGATGCGGCCAGTAACACTTCCCGTCAAGAGAAGGACACCGTCATAGATGAATGCTTACTCGCTGTACTGTATCCATGTTGAAGAAGTGTTGCACCCCAGAAAGGTAAGTGTGTAAAGACTACAGAACACTGATAAAACACTTTCAATTGTATATTTAATGGATCAAAAGGGAGTAAAATAACAGAAGATCATTGTTAGGCTTTACACTAGGGATACACCGATACCGTTTATTCGGTACCGAGAACGAGTACCGGTATTTTTTTTCCCGTACTTGCCGATACGGAAAGTCCCATTAAACACTTCAAGACCAGGTGTTTAGACCCCCTTCCTCGCCAGGCCATTTTTCAGTGTTCAGCGCTGCGATACTTTGACTGACGTTTATTCCGTCATGCAACGCTGTACTGAAATGAATTTTACACCATTTTTTGGGGACAGATAGAGCTTTCTTTTGGTGGTATTTAATCACCACTGGGGGTTTTATTTTTTATTATAATTAGGAAAAATTACTGAAAATTTTGAAAAAAAAAACATTTTTTTTAACATTATGTTAGGAAACATTTATTATTACCCAGTTTTTGGTCAAATATAAAAGATCGGGGTAACGTCGGTTAATTAGACACCAAACATGTCAAGCTTTAAAATTGCGCGCACCCGCGACATCGCAGGTAAACGACCGCAACCAAAATTAGCCATAGGCGACGCTTTAAACGTTTTTACCGCTCATCAGTTTAGTGTTATCAGTGATTGATGGCCCTAGACTTATTGCTCTCACTGCGACGTTCGCGGCGATATGTAACATGTGCGGCGTAATGGGCGCAATCGTCTTTTTTGCACGTATGCGCCCCCGACGCATGTATGCATGCGTGTATGTATGGGTGGGGACTTAAAATGTTTTATTTTTTTAAAATTCTTTTTTATGTGTTACTTAAAATTTGGTTCTGAAGACGCCCGCTCAGATCTAGAGAGCTCCTGGCCGGCCGTTTTTTTACTACGGAGGCAGTTAAGGAAGCCGGGTGGCATGTAATTAATGACTCGCCGCCAGGCTTCCTGATTAGCAGAGAAGCCGTCTCGATGCTCCATACCAGGTGATGAGGAAGCATGGAGCCAGCATTATGGCCAATCAGGAAGCCGTGGGGCGGGTAATGACTTGATGCCTGGCTTCTTGATTGGCCAGCTTCCCAACCAATCATGAAGCTGGGCAGCGAGTCATTACACGGCTTCCTGATTGGCCATAATGCTGGCTCCATGCTTCCTCATGACCTGGTATGGAGCATAGAGCCGGCTTCCCGGGCACTTAGAAGGCCGGGGGGCAATTATTACCCACCCCCCGGCTTCCTGATTGGCCGGGAAGCCAGCTCCATGCTCCCTGGTGACAAGGGAGCATGGAGATGGCTTCCCGTCCAATCAGGAAGCCGGGCAGCATGTAATGACTTGCCGCCCAGCTTCCTGATGTTTCGGAATCAGGATAAGCATAGGGAGCATTTGGGAGAGTACAAGAACTTGGTATCGGTGCATCCCTACTTTACACACACCTTAATCTAGCAATACCAATAACTGTGTAGTGTGGGGGCCTACCTAAACAACACGTTCAATTTATAAAGAAACTCTGTGAAGTATTGAGAGTGAAGTGTATGTACCCCCCACAGACCCACCTGCACAACACATTATGGAAAATGTTACCTATGTTCAGAGCTGGAAATTGTAACTTGCATAACTGGAGAAATATTTGTATAGTGTGGCCAATGTTGGACTAGTGCTCTAAATCTATACTACTTAAAGGGGTTTTACATTTTAGAACAATAGAGGTCCACCTCCTCTACGGCCCTTTTTAAAGGAAGCCAATTACAATGCACACTGTAACTAGTGCCTATTACCCCTCATATGCCTTTATGACTGTGCAAATTGTATTCACAGGCAAATATTTACATTTTGCATCATGACAAGTGCGACCTTTAGATGCAGCCGTGTTACAATGGGGTGTAACAGTGTAGTGCTGTACATAACCTGTGTAGAAAGTAGTGCAGTAGGAGGGACACAGCAGGCTCCACCCACTACATGCTGCCTGCAGAAAACTACAGGGGGGGACAGATACAAGACCAGCCACCCTGCACAAGGAGAGAGAGCAGCGGTGACTGGTCTTTATTACAGGAAGCATCGGATTCGGGCCCGATACAGGGCATTTTGACAAGTACTTGTCAAAATGCCCCGAAGCCTAGCGCCGAAGCTTGCGCTATGTTTTGGTTTTTTCTTCTTACTTACCTCACTGCTGCTCCGGTGGGCGGCGCTCCGAGCGGGGTCATCTGGCAGTCTTGTATTTAGACAATATTTGCTTATCCCAGAGTTCAGCTTTTTGAAAGGCAGAGCTTGCTATAACATCCATTGTCTGGGGACACCCAAGTCCCTAATATTCCACATAATATATGTAAAGTTGTAGTTACCCGTATTTTTCCGTCTATAAGACGCCCCCATGTATAGGACGCCCCCCACTTTTCTTACCCAAAATTCAGAAATCAATATTTTTCATGCTCTTTTGCATAACTGATTACATCCAGTTTAAATTTTGCAGAGTAAGAAAGCCGCTTACTGGTACCGGTATTTACCGGTAATTTTTTTTTTGTTTCCTGACATTTTTATGGGCTCCCTGTTGCATCTGGGCACTGGCTACACGCTCTCCGCAGCATCAGCTGATGTCAGGTACATAAGGCTCATGATTGGAGGAAACCTGTTAGCTTGTCTCTGCAATCGGAAGTCTCACTCGTGAGGCACGTTTGCAGAGGTATCGGCAGTTTTGCAACCGCGTTACTCCTCTCAGCCCCCCGTGTATAATACGCCCCTCTATTTTTAGGTAAATATTTCAAAGAAAAAGTATAGTCTTATACATGGAAAAATACAATATACTATAAACAGAATGCATGAGTTGACAGAATCAAATATTACCTTTTGCTTTCAGAGACTGCAGTTTCTAGATGTTGGAAGATATGTTGGAACAGGTTACAGCTGGACCGGCTGTTGATATCAAACCCATAGCCACGTTTCCAGTACTGTTTCAAGTCATTCAGGTATTCTAGGACCTAGGACCCAGACGCAGAAAAAATACATTTAGACGTTGTAGAACTATCCCGGCTCCCAGAGACAGAGGAATGATGGGTTTTGTAGTTTCAACACAGCTGGCGTGCCGAGGTTGCCTAGCCCTGGCCTTCTCTTTCAGCTGTACACCTTACTAAGCAGTGGTCCTAACACTGCTTAGTAAGGTGTTAGGACCCTTGCAGGATACATCTTCTGAATAAGCCATGCCATTTGCTGATCCAGATTAAAGTACATGTGCATAATCAAGAAGATCCTTAAAGCCCCATTCACACCAGGGCGGTTGCGGATCAACGTGGTTTCCGCACTGATTGTAAAAGGGCGGTTTCGGGAGTTATCAATTGCGTTTCAGTGCTGAAACGCACTTCAAAACGCCCAAAACCGCGCTTCCATTGAAAGCAGTATGGAAACCGCACTGATCAAGGCGGCAAAAAAGGCTCAGGGCAATTCGGGCAGGCAGTTCGGATCGCGCTGAGCCTCATGGCCGCATGAACGGTCGCGACAGCAATGTATGGGATCGTTCATGTTGGCGGATCCATGCGGCTGAACGGCCCTGGTGTGAACGTGGCCTTAGATGTGATCTGTTATAAGAAATAAGAGTCAGGCCTCATTTATATGGGTGGCAAAGGGACAGTAAAAACAGGCGGCTGATCTGCGTTTTGATTGCTCCACGACCGCCTACCTAAAATCTAACAAGGTGGCCGTTCAGTTTTGTACACATGCAAATTTTACATGCATCCTGCATTTGGGAGGTGGTTGCTGCCTTCCAAACGCGACCATTTTACTCAATGGAACTGTGCTATAACTGTGTGCCAAGCGTTTGCCATTCAGGAGGTGGCAGTATAACCTCCTGAATGCCTGCAAACTGGCTGTCAACTGCTCCCTGAAAAGCGATCCACCACTGAAAATTTGTAATGCAACTCCTAGGACTTGCAAGGATTTAAGTTGGTTTTTCAATCATTGAATTCCTATGGGGAACACACTAGTAGGAGAGTGTGCACAGCAATAGCTTTGAAGAATGCATCACCCGGTCCACATAGGAAACCCCAAGACTAAGGGGCCTTCGTGTGAGAGGATCTGGCACAGATCAGTCCATGTGTAGCCTCTTATCTTGTGACCTGCTGCAAAGTAACAGTATTGCAGGTAAAACTCCCAGCATGTAGTAAGAGAAGCACTCACATTTATGTTGTTAACATGAGCACATTTGCATGGTATAAGCCACAGACTAAAGTGCCCCATGCAAACACAAATGTCATGCATACAAACCATTGGAGTCAGGTTCCTGCACTGAAACTCACTTTTGCATCTTCTTCATCAAACAAATGGCACCACGGAGAATTCTGAATGTTGTTAATGGCCAGTTCAAATGAGCAGGTAAAAAAAGCCACTTGGATTAAATCTACAGCAAAGAGATGGACAGATTAGTCAGGGTTAGTATGAAGCGGAACCAACATGGACACACTAATAGCAAGATAACACTGTGTTCTAATTCCAATCAGACGGAACTTCTGCCAGGTCCTTGATTTCTGTGTCCCCTTGCAGAGGTTTGCCCTTAATTCCCGGGGCTTGAGGTGACAGGACGTTTCCCACTAAGACATGAAGAGTAAGAAACACCAGATAGAGGTTCTAATGCTGGGTTTAGTTCGATATAATTTACTTTTGGAACATTTGTGCGATTTTCTAATAGTTAGTGGAGTCTATGCGACAATCAATTTCCACTATAGTGATGAAGAAAAGAAAAGAAAAATCAATGGAGCAGGATGAAAATTGTTTGTTGAATGAGATTATTTGAAAGTGAAAGGTCAAATGAAAATATAGCAGTGTATGACCAGCTTTACTCTATGAAGACAAAGTATCAGCAGACTACTGGATAGCAGGCATTGTTTAGGTCAGCCATGGCATGTACTGTGTATAAATAGGCATTGTTAATTGCAGCTATTTACTGTTGTGCAACTTGCTTTATAGGGCCCCTCTCTTTGTTTTCTACAATAGAGGTATTTGCAGCTTCTGTGATGAATTAGGGGACGTATATGGATTCAACCTTATAGCATGACCTTTATCTCACTGCATAAAAGTGTCCAAAGGGTTAAGTGCACATTTTGTCACGTAAGGCAAATGTTTTATTTACCTGGCAAACTTGGCTGTCAGCACTCTCCTCTCTCTCTCTCCGCTCCAGCTATGGAATGTCCCTCAGCGTCCTCACTTCTAATGCAGGAGAATGTACCAGCATAAGATGTGAGGACGTCATCGGTCCTTAGACCGCCGGAGGCCGGGGAAGAAGAGGCTGCGGGGACCGGTCTAGCAGCCCAGAGGAAGCTGGAATAAGGTAACTAAGTCATTCTGCTTTATTTCAGCCCCTAGATGATGAGCACTAAAACCCTCTGGAGTGCGGGAGTCGTCCCACTGCAAGGGTAAGTGTTTTATTTGACCGGAGTTCTTTAAGAATCAGACGAAATTTGCTGTGTGTATGCCCAGCTTTAGCTCCTATTAGAAGGAAGATACAAGGCAATAAGAACACATGAATCACCAGGCAATATTTCACCCACAGATCTGCTGTGCTGCTCAGTCACACTCCTTATCAAGAAATCACAGTTGCTGAAAACAAAAAGTAGTAAGCACAGTTCAAACATGACTTATATACACATATGCCTGTCCAAAAAAAAAGTCACCACTTGTATTTAGCTAAACAAATAGGTCAGAGCCTTCCATTGGATAACAGGTCTAGGTTCAGCAGCCTGATGTGCCTAAAAAATGAGGTAATTTGCCTACCTGAATATATTGAATGACCAGGTTTTTCAATCAATGGATTTTTTTTCCCCTGTTGGTACGGGCATATTCCAAGATGACAATGCCAAGGTTTCATCAGGCTCAAATTGTGAAAGAGTGGTTCAGGGAGTGTGCGACATCATTTTGACACATGGATTGGCCACCACAGATCTTATAGTACAATTAAATCTTCAGGGTTTTTTGCATAGATCTGCTGCTAGCAAGCAGTAGATCTATACAAAAACATATAAAAATAAAATAAAAAAAGTTACCAAAAAGGTTAAAACTTACCTGTGGCTCCCGTCTGCAGTTCTGAAAATTCTCGGGTGGCCGTAAACAATCATGGTGCGGGCGCATGCGCAGTAGAGATCTTCGGCCAGGAGAAGAGGAGAGACACAGTGTAAATCAATGCACACAGCCAGGGGCATGCACCCGCACAGACTCTGTGGGACACAGGAGATTTAGCAGTCAGCGCTGGATCAGAGACCTGCACCAGCGCTGGAGGGACTCCTGAAAACTACTGGAAGAAGATTAGCAGATCAAGAGGCATCATTTAGGGTAAGTCCTTACACCAGCATGGGGGTGGGGAGGAAAAAAAATTACTTCAAAGTCACTTTAACCCCACAGAGTCCAGATCTTAACCCCATTGAGAATCTCTGGGATGTGCTGGAGAAGACTTTATGCATTGGTCCGACTCTCCCATCATCACTACAAGTTCTTGGTGAAAAATAAATGCAATTCTGGATGGAAATAAATGATGTGACATTGCATAAGCTTATCAAAACGATGCAACAGTGAATGCGTGCCATAATCAAAGCTAAAGGCGGTCCAACTTAATATTAAGACTTTTTTTTTTTTGGACAGGCAGTGTATGTTACAAATGAGTACTTCAGTAATATAAACATCTGCTCACCTGCGTTTAGTTGATCTTCAGGGACACCTAATAGAGTAGCAACTTTGTGTATTACTTTCTGCATTTCTGGTCCTATTTTAAACCGGTCCACTTCATGCATTGCTGTGTCATTGTCCTCCACCTGGACTACAAACTTCTCACAATGGTCAAAAAACCGCATGAGTGTGTCATTCACCATGGGTTCGCTACATGTTATATCTGATAAAACAAAACAACAATGGTATTGGGTGACATCAGTATTCTATTAATCATCACCTTTATGATTTCCTCAAAAGAAAACTTTTTATTAATCAAAATACCACAATGACAGTTGAAGGGAAAGCGACACAATCACATGCATAAAAGACACACGCTGCAGACGGCAGTTAAAGGGCAACTGAAGATACCGTATATACTCGAGTATAAGCCGTCCCGAATATAAGCCGAGGTACCTAATTTTAGCAAAAAAACCTGGGAAAAAGTATTGACCCGAATATAAGCCGAGGTACCTAATTTTAGCAAAAAAACCTGGGAAAAAGTATTGACCCGAATATAAGCCGAGGTACCTAATTTTAGCAAAAAAACCTGGGAAAAAGTATTGACCCGAATATAAGCCGAGGTACCTAATTTTAGCAAAAAAACCTGGGAAAAAGTATTGACCCGAATATAAGCCGAGGTACCTAATTTTAGCAAAAAAACCTGGGAAAAAGTATTGACCCGAATATAAGCCGAGGTACCTAATTTTAGCAAAAAAACCTGGGAAAAAGTATTGACCCGAATATAAGCCGAGGTACCTAATTTTAGCAAAAAAACCTGGGAAAAAGTATTGACCCGAATATAAGCCGAGGGTGGGAAATGAGGCAGCTACTGGTAGATAGATACCAATAAAATGACATTAATATTTATTTAAAAGAAAAATAACCTAGCTCTGTAAGTGGAAAAGGGGGTACAGGGCTACATATCATGTACTACGGATCATTTAACCCATTCATGTTAGCAGAGGATCATTGTAAATGTATTGTTGCAGGCACTCTATATGTACATGTACTATATACTACATATAGAGTGCACTGAACAATAGATTTACAATTATCCTCTGCTAATATGAATGGGTTAAATGATCCGTAGTACATGATATGTAGCCCTGTACCCCCTTTTCCACTTACAGAGCTAGGTTATTTTTCTTTTAAATAAATATTAATGTCATTTTATTGGTATCTATCTACCAGTAGCTGCCTCATTTCCCACCCTCGGCTTATATTCGGGACGGCTTATACTCGAGTATATACGGTAATGTTTTCTTTTTTTGGTTTTGGATAGAGTGGAGGGGGATTAGGTGTTTATTGCTCTATGTGTCCCCGTTAGGGAGATTCACCCCCGTTATTTGTTGTTGTGACTGTTATCACTGAAAATGAAAGAAATCCCACATTTTTGGTTGTCATCAGAACAGAAATAGAAGGGAAAGTTTCCAATTGGGACAGTAGTTCTAGTAAACCCTGATGACAGGATGTAAATGGAAATCCACCCAATGGGACGAGGAAGGCAAAAAAGCTGACATGGGTTATAACCATGCCTTACTCTATCCAAAACGAAAAAACATTTTTAGCTTTAGTTCTAGGTTTAAAGTATAACTACAGGCAAAACATGTTTATTTTAATTTTGGATAGAGCCGAGAGGGGATAGACCCCCCGTTTTTATTGCTGTCTGAGAGAGATTCAGTCTCTCGATTTGTCATGGTCACCATTGTCACTGGGACCTAAATGGATGAAAAATCTAAAATTCTGAGATATCACCGGAGCAGGTAGAGGGCAAGTCTTCCAATGGGGTCATTTGTTCTGATTACAAATTTAAGATTTACTTTCACTTTAAAGAGACTTCCTCACTTCCTTTTATTATCCACAGGAAATTAAGTGAATGGAAGTCTCTTGACGAGGACCCTCATGGCAAAAAACAAAAACTCATGGGGGATTTACCTCTTCCATACCCTATCCAAAATGGACAAAAAGAAGCAAGCAGGCTGTTACAAGTGATCTGGGTGGCTGCAAAGCCGCCCAGATCACTTGTACAAAACAATCGGCGGCTCCCCTGCTGTACATTTAGCTCTACTTGCTCACAGCAGAGCTAAATGTAGAAAACACTATACTACCTGCCTGGCTCCCGGAACTGCATGTCCTGGGCGTAGGGCGATAGGAATCGAGCACCCCTGGGTATGTAATGATCAGTCTTGAGCCTTTGACCACCTACAGACTCTGCTTCAGCCTATCTTAACCTTTAGCATGTCTTCTGACCTCTCCGTCTACCACCTGCCTCTAGGATCTGTATGTTTGACTAATATTACTAGGTGTACACCTGACTCCACTTGAAGTCAGCTTTCATCCCCGGTAACATAATGGAATCACCGAACCCTGTGTTTTTACTACTGTTATCAACAATAGGAATAGGTAAATCCTTCAAATCTTCACCTATTAAGAAGGAATAAAAGTCGCCGGGAGTCTGTTTAAACAGCCCCGATGCTGGCGACGTACACTGTACGTCGTCAGTCACGAAGGGGTTAAACATACAAATACTCAATACAAATTCCACCGAACTAAGCTCCAACAAGGTTTTATTTAGGCAGTAATTAATTTAACACTGGTCAAAGACAGGAAGCTCCTGTAAATGAAGTTTTTACTCAAACTCGTTTCTAACGTTTCTTGCAAATGACCTTTTGACCACTGCATTTTGTGACTGCACAACAGCAGTTTCCAACTGTCCCTGAATAAAAAATAAACAGGGTAGCTGCAGGAAATAGTCAAAACTCCATCAACCTTGTTACAATTGTACTTGTATCTTTTAAAAAGCAAAAAGTTGCACATACTTATCCCTTGAAATAAAATATTTGATGCTTTGCAATTAGGCATAAAACAATAAGAATGCAAGTATGTTTAACAGAAGGGAATACAACATTCAAAGAGGAACATGCTGACTTACCTTCCTGCTCAGTGTCTGGAAGTTCTGGGAGTTGGAGGTAGTTATGGGCTAGACCTTTAATAAAGGATTTTGTACTGTCTACACATCGATGCTTAGAGCTGGTGGTGAAGGACATCTTACATTTCTGGAGCTTCTCTGCAGTGAAGAGAGATGGGAAGAGAGAAGCAAATCTATAAGCCAAATTCTTCATGTCGTCCTCTCCTTTCTTCACCAGCTGACCATCCATCCAGTCATCATACCACATGTTCCAGCTCTGCAGCTCCTTCACCAGTTGTGAATTGCTCTCACTCTGTTTAATTAGGTTGTATATTGTCTTCATCTTCTGTATTTGCTTTTGAGTTGGATATCTCCTACCATGTCTGATCACTGACACTATCTGAAGAGGTGTACACATATTGGGCAGTAGATCATGCTTTCTAGAAACCAGTAGTGGATTCACCAGGAGAAACGGATTGACTTCTTCATACCTGGTTTTGGTTCCAAAATAAGTAGCTAGTTTGGGAGACCCGCAGGTGGAGAGTCCATGTAAACTGCAGAACCACGTGGCAGAGATTAGAAGGACCTGGGCGGCTTTGGGGACATATCTTCGGCATTCAGAGAATATTAAACTCATGGTTACAATGGGCAGTTAGTGTTGTAACTCTACAGGCAGCAGGGAAAGGAGTCTGTAGCATTTATATAGTAAAATCAGCAGTTAGCCTTCCTTCATTTATGGAAAGTCCTACAAAGAAGAAGAATAAAAAGTAAAATAAACACACAAAAGAAGGCTTTCACTCACATACATGTTCTAACAAAAGATTGTTAGTTGTTGTTCGCAGAAGACACAATCTGTTTTGCCGAAAAACAACAAGATTCTTTAGCATGCTAACCTTCAGTTAAAATCTGATAGCTAGACATTGATAGGTTGCTACAGGGAAACATAGGCATTTTAGTAGAGAGTAGAATGATCATTAGTGTACTGCTTTTCTTATTGTTTACTCACAAGCTGGGGCACCAAGGTGTTCAAGCTGTATTACTGCATAGAGAAAAGTGAGGTTACTGACATGATACAAAAACATTCACACCCTAGGTTGTAATGGGGTTTTAAAGAGGCGTCAGAGGGTTTTCAATTTATATGAATTTAATTTTAATGATTTGTAATAAATTGATATAAATTGAAAAACCTCTGACGCCTCTTTAAAACCCCATTACAACCTAGGTTGTGAATGTTTTTGTATTATGGATTAAATAGGGGTGAGGTTTCAGATCACCTGGGCTGATACTCTAAGCAGTGCCATTTGTATCTAGAGGTTACTGACATGGTTACACTGTCTGGCAGTAGTGCATGGATCCAGACTGGTTAAACACAATAACTATCTCCTTGAGACATGCAAAGGGACACAAAAGACAGCACCTCCTCCTCCTGTGATATTGTTTATTGTAAAATTAAAAGTGGAAAGGATAAAAGCTACTCACATATCACAAGTTGCAATCAGCATTGCATGAATAGAGTGCTACAGCCAGCCTCTGCTGTATTGGGTACAGATTTTAAACTGATGGATGAGAATACAGCCCTGGTCCTCAGAGCGCTTGGGAGTGTTGTTTTTCTGGACAATAACTATCCCTTTGGCAGGTTCCTTGCGTTCGGCTTTAAACCTTAACCTGGTCCGCAACACTTAGAGAATTGTGAGTGTTAGGTTAGAGTGACAGCACTAAAGAAAAACCTATTCTGTCTTTTAATGGGCTGTTCATTTTTATCTTGTTATTACTGGCTGGAGTCCTGCTTTAAAATCAATCTTAAACCTAAATCATGAAGTAACCCATCATAAAGATCCTTACAGACACTTGTGGTGGACATGGTTTCCGTTTGTGTCTCACAACTATTATTTACACCAATTTTGTAAAGGTTTGAAGTAACAGTACACAATAACTTATGGGATATGTTTAAATATTGAAAGCTACATTTCTGTGAGGTGTGGGTGTGATATCAAAGATGTTGGGAGTAGTCTTGTATATACGTAAAGATAATGTGTAGGATGTTAATTTGGCAAAAACACCCAGAATTGGCTGAGGCTTATCGTAGTTTAAATGTAGGTTGTATAAAAAAAAAACAAACAAAAAACCCCCCAAAAACACAGTTTTGAATATGAATAATTTATTTGAGAGCAGAAAGACAAACGCATCAACTGATTGGAGGAGGCTTGCAGGAAAAAAAATAAGTAAGAACAATTAGACAAAAGTCACAATGTTACATGGCCAAGCCAAGGAGGGTCACATGCTGTGACTGCTAAAGACCATATCCGAACAGAAAAGACCAGATTAAGGTGTTGGCCTGAGTGATGCTTAGAGTGTACTGGAAGAGGTCCAAGGCTGGGTGTTCCTCTCTGTCCTCACTGGTGGACGGTAGGTATAATAATGTGGCACGGAGATATGAGCCCACTGTTTTTGGGCATGTCTTAACCCATTTAAGTATTCCATCTGTCTGAGGAAACCTATTTCATCTGCCAGTAATTTTGTTTTAAATGTAAGCTTTTCCCACACAATATTGTGGAATCTCCTCCATTTGCTATAGTCATAAATGTACTGCCCCTGAGTAGGGTGATTATTCTGTTAAATATAATCACATAACCTCACACCTAAGAACTGAAAGAGGTTTTCCCAGAAATAAATACATCACTGATAAATTATGTTTACATAGTCTTCAGCTTATATAAGAGCAGTGTGCACAGCTTTTTGCAAAGATTTCTGCAAGCAGCTTTGTTGAAGCCTTCAGAGCACCCTACATCTTCAGTATGGGGAGGTAAAAAACAGATTATGCTGGAAGTGCACACTGGCATTTTAAATAAGCTGCTAGTAGGTTTCACCACAACTTTAAACTTATTGAAAGCCTTGCCATGCTGAATTCCATGTAAACAAGGCCTAATGCTCCTAAGCCATGAAAAAGGGGGAACTGGTAACCGTTGAAACATATTGGCTACTGGTTTTTAAATAGAAGATAATCTTGTATACATAACCATGATTCATCCTTCTTTGTCACTACATTTTCATTGTTTTAGTCAGGGCACCAGAAAGCAAACAGGTTGGTGGGGGTGGCGTGTAGCAGCAGCAGCAGAGAAGGTGGGTAATTAAGACAACCTACCTGAAGTTACTTTGCTCTGGATAGGCCCCCTGAGGAGATATCACCAATAACCGTTCAGTAATCTTCTTATACTGTCTATTCACATAGAGTCATTTCTGACTGGATGCCATGAGTTGCTGTACTTTGTCTTATTAAATAAAACATGTGTACACAAGCTTAGCTTAGCTTTCAGTATATTTATCTTGGCAGCTGTCCTACCAATGATACACCTATTACATTTTTGACACATGACTGACTTTTTTTTACAACTTACTAGAAATAGAATTGTTTTAAAAAAAAATAAAAACAATACTGGAAGCCGTACCGAGCGCATAATTAACACTTATATTGTCATATAAACAGCACTGTGGTTACTGGCTTAAAAGAAACCTGTGCTTAGGGAAATAGAGAGGCTGATCTCTCCATCTGAAAAATGCTAGTTACTTAGCCGTCCTGCTGATCAAACTGCTTCAAAACATTCTAAGTAGATGACCTGAAACAAAGTACAGTGTGGAAAATAATTATTTGATCCCCTGTAGATTTTGTAAGTTTGCCCACTTATAAAGAAATGAAAGGTATATAATTTTTATCATAGGTGTATTTTAAATGATAGAGACAGAATATCTACCAAAAATCCAGAAAAAAAACACAGGATACAAATGTTATAAATTGAGTTGCAGTTCAGTGAGTAAAATAAGTATTTGATCCCCAAGCAAAACATGACTTAGTACTTGGTGGAGAAACTTTTGTTGGCAAGCACAGGGGTAAGATGTTTCTTGTAATTGGTTACTAGGTTTGCATACATATCAGGAGTGATTTTGGTCCACTCTTCTTTACAGATCTTCTCTAAATCTTTAAGGTTTCTTGGCTGTCGCTTGGCAACTTGTAGTTTCAACTCCCTCCATAAATTTTCAAGAGGATTAAGGTCTGGAGACTGGCTTCTTCTTGAGCCACTGCTTTGTTCCCTTGGCGGTATGTTTTGGGTCATTTTCATGCTGAAAGACCCATCCACGACCCATCTTCAGTGTTCTGGCTGAAGGAAGGAGGTTCTCATCCAAGATTTTTACAATACATGGCACCGCCCATTGGCCCCTCAATGCGGCAAAGTCGGCCTGCACCTTTAGCAGAGAAACAACCCCAAAGCATAATGTTTCCACCTCTGTGCTTGACTGTAGGGATGGTGTTCTTAGGGTTATAAATCAGCATTTTTCTTCCTCCATACACGGTGAGTCGAGTTAATGCCAAAGAGCTCAATTTTGGTGTTATCTGACTGCAGCACTTTCTCCCAATCCTTCTCTGAATCATTTAGATGTTCATTGGCAAACTTCAGACGGGCCTGAGGAGGGGGACCTTGCGGGCGCTGCAGGATCTCAATCCATGGCGGTGTATTCTGTTACCAATGGTTTGTTTGGTGACTGTGGTCCCAACTGCCTCTAGATCATTCACAAGCTCCTCTCGTGTAGTTCTGGGCTGATCACTCAGTTTTCTTATGAACATCCTTATCCAATGAGGCGAAATCTTGCATGGAGTTCCAGACCGAGGGCGATTGATGGTTATTTTGTATTCCTTCCATTTGCGAATAATTGGTCCAACACTTGTTTCTTTCTCACCAAGCTTCTTACTGATAGTCTTGTAGCCCATTCCAGCCTTGTGCAGGTCTACAATCTTGTCCCCAATGTCCTTTGACAGCTCTTTGGTCTTGCCCATGGTGGTGAGGTTTGAATGGAAGAAAGAGATTCCGTGGACAGATGTCTTGTATATACATAACAAATTGTGGTTAGGACCACCTTCTTAAAGTGACAGGACTGATCTGTGTACCACATAGCCAGTCTGTGGGAGGAGCCAGAATTATTGTTGGTTGGTAGGGGATCAAATACTTATTTTACTCAGTGAACTGAAACTCAATTTATAACATTTGTATCATGTGTGTTTTCTGGATTGTGGTTGATATTCCATCTCAATCATTTAAAATACACCTATGATAAAAATTATAGACCTTTCATTTCTTTGTAAGTGGGCAAACTTACAAAACCTGCAGGGGATCAAATAATTCTGTTCCTCACTGTATGCAGAGTTCTAACTTTTAACTTTACTTGCGTGACGTCACTAAAGCCAGGCAACTATGACTATCAAAAAAAAAAGGGTTATCAACGGTGGCCTACATATTAACTACAGGTTTCCTCTAAACAGCATTATATATACTAACTCAACAGATATCTGTGACAGGTTTAGTCAGTCACCTTCACAAGTTCAACGTAAAGAGACCTAGCCAGCTTGTCATTTACCTGTAAAAAGCATCCCTTATGTAGATATCCAAAAATCCCTACAGCTTCTGCTGGGTGCCGCCATCTTGGATGTGATGTCAGCAGCCCCAGTAGACTGAGAACTGTCACTCAATTTGCTGTAGCATTCCCATTTGTACCTCCCCCGGTTGCTACATAAAAAGCAACCGAGAGGAGCTGTACCAGCACAGACAGTAAAAAGACACTTCCCAAAAAGAAGATGGCTATGACGTGCAGAATTAAAAAAGCCTGGCAACTGACGGAGCTCCGTCACCATGATAAAGGGGGCCTCCATGTCCCTGAAAAGCGGGTGCTATTCCTAAATAGGACTTCAATAACCAATTCTGTTGAATTTCATCTTGGCGTGCTGACTTTTACTGCACATTAGCTCTGAATTTCTGACAAGATCAACAAGTATGCTTTTGTACATTTTGCGCTTATCAAACACTTTCAGGGGTAGATCTAAGAAACCGAAAGTGAGCATATAAAGAAGATCATTGTCAGGGTTTACACTTTAAAGTAAATTTAAATTAATGAGATATTAACCCCTTCGTGACTGACGACGTACAGTGTACGTCGCCAGCATCGGGGCTGTTTAAACTTGTAAAGCCGACTGTTGGCTTTACAACATAATCGATTCTGGCGACTTACCCTGTTTCCCCGAAAATAATACCTAGTACTATTTTGTAAAAAGTTTTTAAAATTAAATAAAATAAATCTAATAATAATAAAAATATTTTTAAAAGTCCCCCACCCCCGTGAGCACGCGCGTCGCCACGTAAACACGCGTCGGGTGCGCCTACGTATGAAAACAACAAACGCGCTACACATGTTGGGTATCGCCCAGCACGCCAGAGTTTATCACGGACGCACGCAATTTGTAACCTGGGCATGTTGGGTATCGTTTTACTCGTTGTAACCTCATCTTTTATATTTCATTAAAGCACATCAAATGGGTATTTTGTTGTGTCTTGGGGCATTTAATTAAATTTTTCACTAAATGTTGGGGTTTAATAAGGAGTTGCGCTAATATTGCGCAACATAAAACACAAGCAACTACCACCATTTTATTCTATAGGGTCTTGGCATTCAGAAAATATATAATGTTTGGGGGTTTTAAGTCATTTTCAGGCCTAAAATGTGGAATATAACATGGGTGCAAAAAATTAAAAAAAGGCCTCAGTCATGAAGGGGTTAAAGGAGAACTATGGGGTCAGGGCTTTCCCCCATAGTTCTCCTAAGGGTAACAGGAGGACACAAACAAGCATCCTCCCGTCACTCTAAGCTCAGTATACTGAGACGCCGCAGCCGGATCCCGGCATTACTGTCGAGATCCACCCAGACCCAGACCCAGGATTGACCCGCCCCCTCCCCCGTCCGTTCCGCCAGTCAGCGCTGGAGGATCAGACAGGGGAGGGGGTGAATCCCTGCAGGGAACCGTGAGTGACAGTCACGGCTCTCTGCAGGGATAGATCGAGAAGTGAGCGAGCAACGCTATGTGTTCGCTCACTTCCCGATCTATTGAGCCGACCTGTGACAGTTTAATTGTCACAGGTCGGCTAGAACTATGAGGATGAGTGATTTTCACTCACCTCATACGGTAGTTCTCCTTTAAATGGAGAAGGAAAGGCCTTTTTTTTTTTTTTACAGATTTTTTATGTGGTGACATGAGTGCAAAGCTCCGGGCAGTGTCTCTCTCTGTGCAGCTGGTCCATGTGAGCTCTCCCCTGGCCAACAAGGCCTTAGCCTCTTCGGGCAATGCTGAAGTGCTTTTTGCGGGGTTTTTTTCAGGCTTGAGTGTTTTTGTTTTAGCCAATGGAAAGCTAGTTACTATGAGGAGACAATTGTTTGACATGAAACTGTGTTTTTCAGGTGCTCGCATTGAAGTCTATGGGGGCCAAAAAGGTACGATTGTGTCTGCATAAGCTGATTTATTCTTCAGTACTTTGCTGAGCTACAAGTGTCACAACGCTCAGCTGTGAACGGGCATTATTATTGCAAATAATTGGATCCTTCATGTTGAGCATGGTCACACTTAGAAAATAGGCAGAACAATGCTCAGTTGTGAAGACAGGTTTTGGATTCCATGCTCCATGGCAGCGGTAGCAAACCTCAGCACAGCACTCCAGCTATTGTCCAATGAGGCACTGTAAAACTTTAAAAGCCACTGACATGACTCCTAGGGCCAGACGCATAATGGTTCACTACAGCTGGAGTGCCGAGGTTGCCTTCCATTGCTTTATGGTATTTAGCAGCATTGTTGGCACCTGATGGAAAGACCCCATAGAGCTTTGTGGTCAGGAGACTGCATAGAACACTATAAAACAAGGTATTTACTATGAAATTTAGTAGGAAATGTATGCACTGAATACAGAGCAATGGGGAAGCAACATTTAAAAGGTGTTCATGTGTAGTCTTTCCTTCTACTTTTGGTATTTACAAGCAAAATGAATTGTTTATAAAACATCTAAAAACATTTAGATGCCGCTGACAGCCAATTCTAGTCTGGGATGGACCGGGGTGTTTGGGCTGGGATGGACCGGTGAGTTCAGTGGACCAGGAAATTTAATCTGGGATGGAGCAGGGAATTCAGTCTGGGGATTGACCGGCGGTTCGGTTAGGGACAGACTGGG